TCCTCTCACGTATGTCCAGGTCCAAGGCATCCCGAAAGTGATTAACCATCCGGTTCTCATCGCATACATACTCCGGTAGAAATTTTATTCAAATACATTGGAGTAGTATTTGATGCATAGAAACATCAAAGTACTTGCACTAATATCATAGGTTTTCACCATTGCAAAATACACCTATAAATGTAAGACTTTAATTGCTTTTAATAAGATTTTTTAGTTCATATTATATAATTGGAAGAGATGCACACACACATACATGGATATGAAGTATGAACAATTATTGTAGTACATATGCACATATCAAAACCAATTGCATGCTTTTAAATATTTGCATGCAAAATGTATCTATAATGCATAATTTAGTACATTTTGTGCATCTTAGTAAATAAAATTGATAAGGCATGCATTAAAGCATGCTTTTTGTATAATTATCGTATGCAAAAAAACGTATGCTATTAATGCATTAAATTGTCTTGAGTAATAAAAACTGGAAATGGTATATAAATACATAAATGTAAGGATTATTAATGATTCAATGGAAGTATCAAAAAATATTTGCCATCTCAGCTTAAAACAGTCAAGAGAAGTTAAAAAAAACAAATGCAATAATGAGATTACTTAAATGCCCAAAGTATCTTAACGTGAGGAAAGTAATACCAATGGCTAGTATTGTTTCTCATTTTCACGTTCAGAACTTTTTTATTTGAATCAAACTCCTTATACGCGCACACACTTATCAAGATTTATTATTAAAAGAAGTGATACAAAAGGGCTGACATACCCACACCCCCAAGTAGAGGAAAAGGCCTAAAAGCGCAAGTTAAATCATAACATAAGAGATGTAGTTAATAAAAGGGGAAAATGTAGATTCAAAGTGTAGATTACTGAAAATCTCAATCGGGAAGTTAAATAAATTATTGAAAAAAATGTGTTTTGTATATATTTTGGTGAAGTGTTTTTCAATAATTTATTAAGCTTACTTCTCGATAGAGTTTTAAGCTGATATTTTGTGGACGTAATCTACACTTCATGAAAAATATTCTAAAAAATCATCAAAAATCCACCCGGAAGCACCTCAAACATAGGCAGTTGGACGGCGGATCCTGTAAGGTAATTTTGATAGGATCATTCCTCATGAAATAATTACATTTATATGATTAAAAATAGGACATTATATGTTTTATTCTTCAAATAGGTCTTACTTAGTCCTGTTAAAATAATTTAATTAAAATTTGCCAAAATACAAGTGAATAAGTCCTATTTTTAGAATAAAACATTGATAATACTATTTATGTACTTAAATTTTGTTTTAGTCCTATTTAGGAAATTTTCTCTTTATTGTTTGTGTTCCTTCTTGCCGCCATATGACTAAATCCTGGCTCCGTCCCTGCGTAGGGCAAATTCCAAAAGTGGTCAAAGTATATGTATATGTATATGTATATGTATATGTATATGTATATGTATATGTATATGTATATGTATATGTATATGTATATGTATATGTATATGTATATGTATATGTATATGTATATGTATATGTATATGTATATATATACATATATATATATGCGGTTCTAGTGAGAACGATGCTTAACGTGAAAACGTGAGAACACTCACATTTAAGTCAATGTGGTGCACAATGAAGCTATTCTGTTGCACATTTTCAATTTTCTCGAATTAAGCCTATATTAAATAAACACGATGGCATTTTGGTAAATATTGTGAAAACACGAAAAAGTGCAATTTACAAGCTTCATTGTGCAACATGTTGGGGTAAATGTGGTGTTCTCACGTTAAACATTGTTCTCATTTGATCTTTATTCTCTATATGTGTGTGTGTGTGTGTGTGTGTGTGTGTGTGTGTGTGTGTGTGTGTAATAGAGATCAAATACAAACCCTCCTTAATTTACAAACTACAAACTCATCTTAACCGTCGGATGAGTTGATCTAAAGGACATAAAGGCAAGGTGACATTTTTTTAATAAAACCCAACTCTTTTAGGGTGCAACTCATTGAACGTTAATGTGCAACTGCTGTTTTATGGCTGAATAATATGCACCACTTTGAACCTCAATATGCAATACAAAGAACGTCAAGGTGCATCGTACAAACATTTGCACAATAAGTACAGTTTGTACTTGATCTTTCCCCTGCATATATATATATATACATATATATATATATACATATATATATATATATACACACAGATGAGAGATCAAATGCAAACCCATCTTAATATGCTAACCTACAAACCTAATCCTAGCCATCTATTTTAATGAATGAGCCGTGTACTTCATCTAGATTAGATCAGGCAGTTAGGGGCTTATTAGTCTTCTTAGTTTATTTTATTTTTGGAAAAAATCTCACGTTACCTTTTCCTACTCGATGATAATCGATTCCTTCCCTCTCTCCTACCAAGTTCATCGTTCATCAATATGCAATTACTCTAGATATCAAAGCTTTTCTTCATCCCCATATACTTCTCCATCTCTATCTCCATCTCAAATTTAATAGAATTTGATTAATGTTCTTCTATTCAAGCGCCATAGATTCCAGCACACAGGGAGATCATTAGTTCTCAAACTCCATGGGTTTTGGCATCTCCATGGAATCTGGTGTGCAGGGCACATCAGAATTTTTTAATTTTTTGTTTTTGGTTTTTTTTCATATCTCAATTCATCACTTATGTATTTATGTAAAATTCTTATGTTTTAGTATCCAAAAGTTTTTGTGGTTTAAGTTTGCAAAGATGTTTCATATCAATCAACACAATTTCATGTTTATGCGAAGTTCTTATAGCTTTAGTATGTAAAATATAGTAGTATTTTTTATCATTTAGAACATTCTTCTCATATATTTTGCATCATGTCATCTAAACCTCATGATTCTCGTATGCATGTTAATTGAGTTTAGAATGCAGATGTCATAATGATAAGATGCAGCATATGGTCTCCTAAGGTGCACATGTCATCTCAGTGAAATGCAATATATGTGAACTTCTGAAATGCACATGTGATAATGATAAAATGCAACATATGAACTTCAGAAATGATTATAGAATGAATGCACATGTCATAACAATAAGATGTAGCATATGGTCTCCTAAAATGTATGTGTTATCTTACTAAAATGCATTAACGGAATTGAAACGCATGCCCCACTTTGTTAGAAAATGAAACACATGCCCCTATCTGAAAATAGCTCAAACCACAGGTACGTTTTCTGTACTTTTCCCTAATGATAAAATGCAAAATTTGAACTTTGAAAATGATTATAGAATGAATGCACAAAATCATAATGGTAAAATGCAACATATGGACTTCCACAGTGCAAGGTAATAATTTAATTAGCTCAATATGAAACATAGATAATGTGACTAAAAGTGCAACATATGCATCACTAATATGCAGACATTATAATTATCAAATGATTAATTTTGTAAATAAAAGGAGTTTATTTCACACATATTATCATATGCAGACATGCTAATAATAAAATGCGCATCTCGTAACTTTTATATGCGGTTCACGCGTATCTTGACCACTCATATGCATGTTAGTTGAGTATACGATGCAAATGATGTAACGATAAGATGCATCATATGATGCACATCCCGTAATCTTAATATGCAGTGCGATTTAATTCATATTCAAAAATGGAAGCTAGGATTTGAAAATAAAAGGTTAGTATGGATCGACTGATTGCGTGAATTAAGAAATTCATTTTGTAAATTCTACCATTAATTATCAATTATAGAAAGGTATGTTATTTTCAATTTACGGCTAGCATTAATCCATGGATTCTCTCTGTTTGCCACTTACCTTGAATAAGTTGGCTTTATTTGGATGGTTATTTTAAATAGTGAGAAGTTAGTTCACTTAAGTCTAGGAGAAAGGAAGTTAAGATTACATTAGTAGCCCTCTAACTAAATGTAATACGGTAGTGGGATTTTGGATTTTAATTGGCAGCTTCTCAACCCAGGAGTATTATCGTGGAAGTCATACGGATAGCCATCCATCTAATGCAAATGGACAGTGCTGATTAGTTTGTAGTTTGCACCGGAAGAGGGGTTTGCATGGGATCTTCCCCCTATACACACACACACACACACGCACGCACACACACACATACATGCATATATATATATATATATATATATATATATATATATATATATATATATATATATATATATATATATATATATATATATATATGAGAGCTCTTCTCATCAGGCCGGCCTGACGGGCTGCCCCGTCCGGCCGAGCCCGTTTGGGAACCTTCCCGGTGGAATTTTTTGATGAAAATTTTTGAGCATGTTCCTCATCAATTATAGTTTGTCCATACCAAATTTCAGCTCAAAATTCCATCGGGAAGGTCGTCAAATGATTTTTGCAAGTTAACTGGTCCGGAAAATACATATTCCGGACCAGTTAACTTGCAAAAATCATTTGACGACCTTCCCGATCGAATTTTGAGCTGAAATTTGGTATGGACAAACTAGACTTGATGAGGAACATGCTCAAAAAATTTCATCAAAAAATTCCACCGGGAAGGTGCCCAAACGGGCTCGGCCGGACGGGGCAGCCCGTCAGGCCGGCCTGATGAGATGATTTCTCTATATATATATATATATATCTTACCTATATATATATATATATATATATATATATATGCATGCATGTATATATAGTTGGCTAGCTAGGTGTTAATAAAATAATCACAGGTATGCATATGTGTGTGTAAGTAATCTTCCGGTCGGGAAATTCCTGACCAGCACGCCGTCCGCCCACCTCCATTTTAGGTGCTTCTGAGTTGAATTTTTTGATGAAATGTAAAAATACATGTATAGGATTGATGTAATAATCTATATATTATAATGTTTTAAATAGTATTGTGTAATATATTAGTGATAAAGTAATTTTGAACACTCCACATTTAGTCGCAAGATCCGCCAGTGTGTGTGTGTATAAATATAATAGGTTATGCATGCAATACAGGTGGCATCTCTTCAAGCAGAGCTTGCAATGGTGCAAACACAACTTACGAATAGCAAATTTGCAGTGACAGCGGCCGCCGCACTTGAGCAGGAGCAGCTGCATATGCAACGTGGAGTGTTGTTACAACACCAGCAACAACCAGCAGCCTATTCCAACAACAATCATCATCATCATCTGCGGATCGTGAACGTAGTAAGCAGCAGTAGCAGCTCTAATTTTGAATTCACTACCGCTGACACCCCTATTTCACCACACTGCAGTTTTGATCCCATCATTCATCACCTTTCTCGCGAGGAAGATCAGCGGGAATGAATGAATTAAGAGGAAGAAGTAAAAAATCAGAACCGGCCACACACATTGTGTGTTTAATTAACCATCCATGCAAGCTAAGCAATGCTGATTGAAATGCATGCATGCCATCTGGCCACCCAAATGTGTCTTCCATCTTTTTAATTTAATACATTATTCAAGAACTAATTAATTAAGAACCCATGACTTTGAATTGAATCGTGTACCCAATATTTAAATATAATATATCATTTTAATAATCCCTCCCCTGACTACGTTCTTAGTTTGACTTCACTATTTTTAAGCAAAATAACTTTACTTATTGACTTTTGTTAAGGCATGGGGTTCTATCCTAAAAGGGGTCGGACAAATACTTTACCAACTTTCAAAGACCGTCATTTCTTAAAAGTATGGGATAAAACCGACAAGCATTATAAAATTATAAAACTGTTGAAAATGAAAAACCCTTCAATGAATGTGAGCACTGGCGGAACCAAGACTCGTGACTTGGGGGCATATTAGCAGATAAATCACCCGACCATCAGTCTACGCAATCCAACTTCTATTTACGCAATCCAACATCCGACACTCGTAACTGTCGATCGGTTTGCGCAATCCATGATCACCAACAATGTCATCATCCGACAATTCAACTTCTATTTGAGGCTTTTTAACATTATATTCATTGTTAGGAATGACATTATATGACAAAGAAACTAAATTATATGATAAAGAACCACCAATGCTCGGCCGTTTAGGTTTCGGTGTATAAAATCGTAACATAGGGATTGTTTGTCAAACAACCTAGACAAACTACAATTGAAATAATATGAGTATAATTGTAAAAATTACATTATAACAAATTTACAATTAAATTACTAAATCAACAAATTCACAATATCAAATTTACAATATAATTAACATTTTCAATAAGATTGTCAAAAAATTCAACAATTTATAAAATAACAATCCACCACACCATTCAGGCCTTGTAGGAAAATAAACAAAGAGTGTGAGATGTGTCACAACAATGAATAAACTTTTGCCCCTGTCACAACAACCCACTGTTTATATTAAAAAAAACTGCGGGGACACAGACCCCCAGGCCCCAGGGTAGTTCCACCCCTGAATGTGAGATGCGCGTGACATATTTGTATATTATTGAACACCAAAATTACACACACACACACACATTACAAGGGAATGATATGTAGATATGACAAGTGAATAATATGGGAAAGGGGGTTGAAGTGGTGCATTGGCCATATGTAGGCATGCAACCACCTAGGTTTGTCTTAGCAATATCAAACATTACATATTCAATGATGAAAAATATAAGGGCTAATAATATAGCTAATAATATTTTTAATGCTCTCCCTCAAGGTGGGGTTTGAAGATTACGAACATCCAACTTACTTCAGAGAAACTGAAAACGATTGGTGCCAAGTGATTTGGTGAAAATGTCACTCACTTGATTAGCCGTGGAGATTGAAACTGGCTGAATCTCCTTACTAGCAACTCTCTCTCATACAAAATGACAATCCATTTCTACGTGCTTTGTGCGTTCATAGAAAACTGAATTTAGTGCTATGTGACGTGTTACTTGATTGTCACAATAAAGAGGTGTTGAAATATAAACTACAAAATATAATATTGAAGAGAGGAGGAAAGATTTTCTGTGTGTTTCATTAGTTGTGTAAGTCCCTATAAATATACATTACAAATAGAATATTCCTATATGAGATTCTATACAATAATAATATCCTAAAGTATATTCCTAGAATATTCTGAAGTATATTCTAATATCCTAAAGTATAATCTATATACTTTCACACTCCCCTCAAGTTGGAGCATAGATATTTATCATGCCTAACTTGTTACATAAATAACCAACTCGGATCCCATTTAGTGCTTTAGTGAATAAATCTCCAAGTTGTTCTCCAGTCTTCACATGTCCCGTAGAGATCAATCCTTTTTGTATCTTCTCTCGAATAAAATGACAATCAACATCGATATGCTTTGTTCTTTCATGAAATACTGGGTTGTTGGCAATGTGTATGACAGCTTGATTATCACACCACAACTTAGCTGGCATCGGTGTCTTCAATCCGATTTCACCCAATAAATGGCCTATCCATATGATCTCACATGCAGATTGTGCCATAGCTCGATATTCTGATTCGGCACTCGAACGAGAAACCACACTCTGTTTCTTACTCTTCCAGGATACTAGGTTCCCTCCAACAAAGACACAATACCCTGAGGTAGATCTTCGATCATCTTTAGATCCGGCCCAATCAGCATCTGCAAAACATTCTACTCTCATGTGATCATGATTTTGATAGACAATCCCACGTCCTGGTGCTCCCTTCAAGTAACATAATATATGTTCCACAGCAGCCCAATGATCAATGGTCGGAGATGACATATATTGACTCACTACGCTCACAGAGTAAGCAATATCTGGACGAGTGACTGCGAGATAATTAAGCTTTCCAACCAATCTTTTGTATCTTTCTGGATCTTCGAATGGCACGCCTTCTTGAGTGAGTTGCACATTAGGAACCATGGGAGTTGTGCTTGGATTTGCTCCCAATTTCCCTGTTTCAGCTAGTAAATCAGGTACATATTTACGCTGAGATAGAAATATACCTTTCTTACTCCGTGTTACCTCAATACCCAGAAAGTATTTCAATGAGCCTAGGTCTTTTGTTTGGAATTGGCTATGAAGAAAATTCTTGAGAGCCAAAATACCTGCAGTATCTGTTAGGACTTTTTCTGGTGTCCAATCTAGTTAGATGTATTTGTATTTGTGTAGTTGTTAGTTAAATGTGTAATATGGGCCACAATTGAATATTAGCCCATTAGCCTCTCTTGTAAGCCATAAGTTAGCCATCCTCTCCTATAAAAGGAGGCTAACTTATGAGAAAACCTAACTAAGGCATAGAGCATAGAGGCAGAATAGAATAGAAAAGTTTCAGGCTGCTCTCTCTCTCTAGAGGGAGAGCAGCGGCCATTTTATACGGTATACCAAAGTTCTCGATATATTGTTATGATTGAGAAATCTATCTGCTTCTTCTTTCACTGTTCTATGATTGTTTGATTGTTAGAAATAGGGATCAACATGTGGTATCAGAGCCGAGGCGTGAAATAGATCGAATCCATCTGCGTTTTTCGGATCTGCCTTTATCGAGAAAGACCACACCTATTTTAAAAAAAAACTGAGTTTTCGATATTTTGGTTTGATGATCTGTTTTCAATGTTTTTCAGCGATTTCTGGAAGATTAGGATCGAAATCTGTTTGAAAACAACCTGCAATTTCATTTGTGAAGAAATCTTTGTTTTTACAGTTGCAGATTTTCGAAACTTGGTGTTTCTCGATGTTTTGGAAGTTTTCGATGTTTTCTCAGTTTAACCTCTGAAATCTTGTTTTTGATCCAATCACTGTAAAAGGTATACTGTTAGAATCGCCTCTCAGAACCGATCAAGCAGTATATCTTCATTTTTGAAACCTGTAAATTTCGGATTTTCGATTTCTCGATATTTTTCTCATCGAAAACAGGTTCTCGCAGTTTGATGATCGAAGAACAAGCTTCTCGATATTGTCTTTTCGAAAACAGGCTTCTCGCAGGGTGAACTTCGAAAACAGGTTTCTCGCAGGTTGAACTTCGAAAATAGGTTTCTCGCAGGTTGAACTTCGAAAACAGGTTTCTCGCAGATTGAAGTTCGAAAACACGTTTCTCGAAGTTTGGAGTTCGAAAACATGTTTCTCGACATTCAATATCGAAAAAAAAAAGTTTTCGATATTCAAACATCGAGAAAAAGTTTTCGATATTCAAACATCGAGAAGAAGTTTTCGATATTCATTCATCGAGAAGACGTTTTCGATATTCAATCTTCGAGAAGAAGTTTTCGATATTCAACATCGAGAAGACGTTTTCGATATTTAACATCGAGAAGATGTTTTCGATATCCAACATCGAGAAGACATTTTCAATATTTTATATCGGAAAAAAAGTTTTCGAGGTCCAACATCGAGAAAAAGTTTTCGAGGTCCAACATCGAGAACCTCAGCTTCGAAAAGTTTTACAAAGTTAACAATTCAAACTTTTCGATGTCCTGCACTGTTTTGGCCATAACTTTTGACTCGGTGATCCGATTTACGCGTATAATACCTTTTCGGAAAGCTCGTGAAAAGATCTACATGATTTCCTGGGGGAACCCCAGAACCCAATCTCACGCTCCCTCACTCGCCGTTTTTGAGGGAGATATCACCTGTTTTCCGAAAAATCACCAAAGTCAAAGTCAAGGTCAAAACTGAGGCAAATCTGGTCAATTCTTCCAAAATCAAACCAAAGTCAAACCAAATGTCAAAGTTGGTCTAATCTACACTGTAAGGTCCGGAACTCGTAGATAATTCAATCAACCTCGCGTCAACGGTCATTTCACGACAATCAACTGTGACACTCCAAAAATTTAAATAAAATAAAATCTTTATTTAAATAACTTAAATTTTAACATATGCCAAAAGTGACATTGGTGAAATAAAAATTTTGACTTATAGAATAAAAGTGACATTTTAGCAAATTTAATTCATGAGTTAATATTTGCGCACAATATACATTCTATACCTCTATTAATCATTACAAATATGTAAAAGTTGACTTTCCAACTTGAGATTAGCAATATGAACGTACACATACATATCATATGCATACACAAAGGGAATGATCACCATGGTAATATAACACGTGCGTTTCAAACAAAGAAAACAATGAAAATATATGGTAGTATTGCGTAGATGTTATGGACCGTACGACTACTGGAATTTTCTGGAATAAGCGTTAACTTTGACGCATGAAACCCTAGTCCATACGGCTATAAATATGTGTCATTTCGTCACAAGCTAAGGCAGCCACACTATATATAGAAAACGGAGCAAACAATTGCGGAACATAGAGGAACTAAAACAGATCGAGAGAGAAAGGAGATAAAGAGAGAACGATCGTCGCCGCCATACCATAGTTGCCGGTCGGCCGGACTGGTTCAACGAAGGAGAAAAGGAAAGAGGAAAGCTCAAGACATCATCGGAGAAGAAATCTGTAGGCCGGAGTTCCGCCTCAGAGTTGCTGGACCGTTTCCACACTGGAGAAGAGAAATCCGTCGACGCCGGAGAAGCTGTGATCGCCGGTCTATATCGCCACCAAACTGCCTTCTTTTAACGACGGGAAGGCCGGGACCAAGGAAAGAACGAAAGATACGCAGTTA